CAGTTAAGTATACAGTTCCTCTGGGTGGCTGAGTTGGTATCAGACTTGTCTGGGAGGACATTCATACTGTCACTTACATTAATAAGCCCCTGCACATACTGTTACTTACACTAACAAGCCCCTGCAGGTCAGTGTGATGGCCACATCGAATCAAAATGATATCACGACTCTGGACGGAAAGAGAACGAGAGGCTTACCCTGATCAATGTCACGAGCTCTACCAATAGCTTTACCCTTTTCATTGAGAAACTGACCTATTGTCCAACAACAAAGAAAACCCTAGCCCACTAGTGGAGCCTTTCGGGTCAACTCGAGAATCAATGGAATTCAAACATCTCGACCAACGGATTGTTTGATCGATCCCCTCTTCGTTTGATAGCAGCGAGTTTTTTTTCCACTTTTTTTTCAAGCTTGCTGGCATCAGCCATTCTGTGTCTCATTGGTTTTTCATTATGTAGGGCTCTTTTCGCGGACAGGGGCAGTGCATGACAAGTATTTCATTTTTATCCAATCAAGTGTCTAGCGTAGGCGAGAAAAGCGATATGTTGCCCAGAGAGGGATTCACCAACAAAGACGTCTCGTCACAAACCCTAAATATAGCTAACTTTGTTTGCTGTAAGTACAACAACTATCAATTGTGACTGCATCCATTTCCCCTTTTTCATTCTATTCTGATTGCGTTAGCCGGTCAAACATGCCCCTCGTTGTATCCTCCCTCCATAAATCAGCGAACAGGAATTTTTTTGCTGAGTGATAAGCGAGTGAGGGGGTGTGTGTAACCAAACTACTTAAAGCATCGTAGCACCTACGCCATCACTTGTAGATGTGAATGCTTTTGCCTATCTCTGCAAACTTCACAAAGTGCTCTTGACCTTTCTCTTTCGGTAACGAATTTTAATATGACCATCAATCTTTTAAGCGCACAGACAACGTCCCACTTGTGTTAGCAAAAACTCTGTCCACGTCGGATCGTTCCCATCTGAAGAGTTTTTCATGATATGTTGATCTAAGCTCCGTAACAGTTTGTCGCCCATTCATGGTTTGGTTTTTTGCACGTTTGACGTTCAGTCGACCAGTTCTGGACTCTTAATCCCACCTACGATCAAATATAAGAAGGATGTTCTAGGAAGGCGCCGATGGCCACTTGGACAATACAGATTCTCTCATTAGCTCTGTGCCTTTCCTCAGGATTTCAACAAGGATACATTGCCTCTGTCCTCAACCAGCCGTATATTCAAATACAGAAATTCATCAGTGATTCATGGTTTTATCGAACTGGCCATGAGATGGGAATCATCGACACTGGTCGGTCTTTTATTACTTCTGTTTGGAATGTAAGGCCGTCAGGACCTATAGAGCCTCTATAAATCTCTAGTTCTAGGACATGCTGTGGTCATTTCTCAACATCTGCTTTCCAATAGCTATGATCTTTGGGCAGTTTTTGGCAGCGTTCTTGTGCAAACGTATCGGCAGACGATATACAGCACTGTTAGCAAGTGCGATGTATATCCCTGCTACGCTACTCAGCGCCGCATCAAAAATCTGCTTTCCTGCTTTTGAGCTGTTGTTCGTCGGAAGAATTCTTTGGTGGGTTTCGATAAGAATTGCTCTAAGAGAGTGCAAAATTATGGCACAGCTATTCAGGTCTTTGGCTTGTGGAATAAATAGCGTTAATGCAACTGTGTGGATTGTGGAATGTGCACCTCCAGCGATCCGTGGGCGGATGGCCGCAACACAGGAATTTCTTTATGGCTATAGGTGGGGATCAACTTGCTTTTAGTGAAATCGACAATATTTGGGGCTTTGTATAGCAAAAAGCGAGTCCTACGTTGAGAATTCAAATGCATTCATGTAGCCTACATTTCTCTCCCTTAGAGCTCCAATAAGCTATGCGAGACCAAGGGCACTGGCATGAAGGGCCGCTATCCCTTGCACATTCCTTGGACCGGTTCTAGCACTGGTCAGCTCCATCAAACTAAAAATACTCAGAGATTGCTTTGCTTGAGTCAGGGGGGTTCGAGTATCGCTCTCGGTGAAAAACGCAGACCAAGCTCCCTTGATGAGGCCCTCATTTTTGCAGTTGTTTTCGAGCTTCTTATATGCGAAGAGCCGAGAGGCGGAGACACGTTGTAAGTGACGGCGACAGAGCGATAGCAAGCAAGGATTAGAAACGGAAAGACAAGCTATACGACAGCTGTCGCTGGTGAGGATGTTACGGTGGGATGGAGATTACTACGGTCAATGACCGCGAGGCACATTGAAGCGCTTGGGAGTCGCGAAAGTGATACATTCTCTACGATTGTGGTACGAGTTTCCTCATTCAAAAGGAGATCGTAGCAGTCAGATGGTCGCGGAGTCATCAAAAAAGTCAATCAAAAAGCCAAATACTTTCAAGTAGACGACCTGGAATTCAGCAATGGAAAGGATCAAATCTCCGCTGTGGTCAATCCTTTTTTGAGGAGCCGTACGCATTCTTCTTCTGGAGTGGCTTATTGAAGCGATGTTGCCAATACAATGACTGGCGGAGCTCTGCCGTTTAAGATTCAGTGTCCTTATCCTCCCGGACGAGCCGAAGAACCTGGTACGAGTTTCCGTTCTCGGAAGTAAGAGGGTTTGCCTGGGTGAGATCTGACGTAAGATTCGATCCTCGGACTGTATGCTTGGTAAGTGTGCCACTTGCCACTCCACCACCTCCGCCTTATGAAAAAAAATTCATCTACCTAACAAGCATCTCAGTACGCAATGTAAAGAGTGGCTCGGCGAACATGAAGTCCGTGTTGCGTCATGCATTTGACTCCCACAAAAAAGACAAATGTCGTTTGAATGTCCGAAAAGGCGAAGAATACTGAAAACGCGCTGATCGGCGCAGCCTCCGCTCATAATGGAGCAGGGCACCTACAGGAAAGTAAGTTCCGAAATGTCGACTGCTTCCTGAGGAATTCCCTTTTTTCATAACAAGAATGATAGAGGTTAAACACGGCTGGAAAGGACGAAAGCGTCTCATATTCAGGCTCGTTGATAACGCAAGCGCTAGGTGTACCGTTTGCCGACGACACCCTCTGGCCACTGATCTTCTTGCCAAATGTCGTTTTTGTTATTGTCTCGATGATTATGTTCGGATTTCTTTACGATTCGCCTCAGTACATCATGCAGAAGACAGGAGATCCGGAACAAGTGAGTGCTTGGACCTGTCGTACATTGAGCCCTGCAAAAATATATTCGAATAGGCTAGAAAAGCTCTAGCTGCTTATCACGGAGTCGATGTTTCTGATTCTTCGATCGACACTGAAATTCGCATTTGTGAAGAGGCATTAACGAAGGAGAAGTCCAAAAAAGAGGTCAGAAGATTCTGTTGAATTTGTAGCGCTTGACTTGAAAGACTGGTTTGCAATCACTAAAAATATTCCTCGAATTCTTTTCCGAAATTATAGGGAAATTGCTCCATGTACCCATGTTGCACGTTGCATGTTGAACTTTGGATTTCTAGCTACTTCGA